TATTGAGATTAGTCCTGTGGCTAATAAGCTGCACAAGCCTAAGCGAGTGACTCCACAGAGAGCCCCACCGGTGAGTTACAGCTCAAAGCCACGCACTGCTCGAGTTACCACAGGCCTAGGTGTTCCCAACTGCAGAAAGAACCATTCTGACCCAGGGCTTCTAAGTGCTCAGGTTTCTTCCACCTGAACGGCCTAGCACCAGCACCATCACAGAACTCACTGTGTCCTGCGCTTGGTACGTGCCTGGCCCTGTTGTAAGCAGATAAAGTAACATGTTGTAAAGTAAACACGTTACTTTAGATGTAGTAAGCCATTTAAGCCCCCTACCACCTTTGCAGATGTGGTCTACTCCTATCCGAGGAATCTATGCTAGAGAGAAGTGAAGGACCTTGCCTGAAGTTCCAGAGCCCAAAGCAGGGTTGAGGGCTCAACAATCCCGGGGGGTCTGGCTGAACCGGTGCTTTTAACCACTGATTCTCAGAATTCTATAAATCCCAAAGTGGGCCTTAACTATGGACACGTGAACAAAACTCTGTTCATGCTAGTCCTTCCTTGTGATTACTAAATGCAGCTGATCTGTACTCTAAGGTGGAGGGAGAGAACAGTGACTAACACGTTAACAGCACCCTGTGAAAGAGCAAGCTACAGTTCATCAGACAAAGTTATACAGTAGCCACTTTAATCAAGATTAAGCTGCAACCCCTTGGCAATGAATGGGCAAGGGGATGTTGGTGGCGTTGCTCTCATATTAGTGCAGAGCAAAGCAAACATACAGTCTTTACTTCATGCCTGTGGTGGTGGCCAAAGCTGGTTCATAGCTGGGGCACATAATAAATCAATCAATAAATAAACAAATAAATAAATTTTTTAAAAGATCAAGCTACAAAATGTATATGTTGTTTCTCCGACAAACATTTTATCAAAAAAAAGCGTTGTGAGGTTACAACATTATATAACATTCTATTTCCTTGGTCATCAACAAGTTATCTGCTGGATAATGCTCCCAAGGAATAATTATCATAAACTCAGACTGTCACTAAACATTGGGTAACTAGATTTTGTCTTTGTAGCTATGCATATGAAAATGCACATATACATTAGACAAGCAAAAACAAACCAGCAACTAAAGACTGCGCTTGGAGCACCAAAATCTCAAGTTGGACACAATGTATTAAGGATTATGCAAATACGTACGTGCTAGACACTGCCAACATAAATGGCCAGGGAAGGAGCTACCTCCCTCCTTTGGGGCCACTTCACACCTGACTGACCTCTTGCAATTCTCTGCATGCCATTCCTTCTTCCTCTGCCAGCTTAACATCACAGTTGCCAACAAACCACAATTCTCCCTTCATCACACCTCTTCTATCTCTAGCAAAAGAAAGTTAAGAGCACAGTGGGGCCAGGAAGCTCAGGGACGCAGAAATGATACACTGGAGGACGATGCACACATATGCACACCCTAAAACACAACGCTGACACCATCAGTCTGTCACCTGGGTCTCGGTCCTCCAATGACTCTTCCCATAACCTTGGAAGGCCTGAGAAACAGAAGTGGAACATTTAGCATTTGCTCTCAGAATGGTCTACTTTACAAACGCTGGTGGTGGAGATATGCGCCCAGCCCCCAGACTGTGGACTGATAAAGGCAATGATTACAGCCCAGCTGGATGGTCATTAGAGTGGTGGGACACTCAGAGAAAGAACTCTCACAGAGCTCAATTCCTTCTTTAATTAGAGAAGGATCCAATACCAGCCCTCTTTCCAGTAAAACCCCAAACGTAGACTGATGACTAAATTGTCACGCAGTTTTCAGGCTCCTTGGCTTCATATGCATTCACACAAACACAAGGTCTTTACACCTGAACACAGCAAAAAACCTCACAAGCAATCTAAGTCAGAGGTTCAGAGATTTGATCGTCTTTCTCACAATCTTATCACATACCAAAGTTTAACCAACATTTTGCCATTATCCATACTAGTCCACCTACCACACTCCTATCTCTATGACACCAGACACCATTCATAAAATCCCTAATTACAAGAAGCCACAGAAAAAAAGAAAATGGGTTTTTAAAACAGAAACACCACCAGAAATGTAACCAGGACACACTACCTGAAATGAAATTCCACCCTGTATTGAATTTCATTTTTGCGTACTGTGGGGACAATTTGCATTTGTGTCTATTTTTATGACAGATGGTGAAACTAAATGATCAGTGATCAACCCCTCCTGGAAAAAATGGCTCTTGGAAAAGTACGGCAGTAATTAACAGAAGTCCATAACCTATCAAAGATGATGAAAAGAAAAAAATTTAGTAACTATTCAAAGTGATAAAGGATGTCTTGTGGCATATACATCTGCAATGTACAAATAAAAATTCAAATATAGCCAAATTATAAAACCAAACCCCACGCTTAAACTGAATGTTCTCACCTGTTCTTTTATATTGACTTTATGAGAATTTACGGGATCCGGCCGAGCACCTCACTAGATACGCCATTAGAAACAGAAACAGAGGCGCCACTAACACATTTTAGAAGGTAAAGCACAAGGGAAAACGTTTAAACAGGAATCTGCAGTCTGAGTGTTAATGAACTGAAGTGAACTGCCTTGAAATAAAACAAGTCCCTTTTGTTATATCGGCAAGTCATTCCACGACAAATTCTGTATTTCGTAAAGAAATGCCAGTAGAAAACTGAATGCATCTAGCCCGAATCTTTGTAATGTCATGATCAAAAGTAGTTAGCCTACATGGATGGCCCCAGTATAAATCCTGTGTGTGCGTGCGCGTGTGTGAGAAAGGCAGAAATGGGAGCTGCATTACACTCTATAGGAGGTATACCAGGTATGAAAGTAATCTTTTTATAAAGCCTTTAAAGATGTACTCTCTCTTATCGCAAAGATGTGTGATGTCTTCCATACCCGATGACAAGATGCAACCCAACTAAAATTTATTCAACAAACAAGAGGATCTAAATTGCAGAGAGGTTAATAAATATACTTCAAACAAGAATTTTTTTAAGAAAAATTTGTCCATAGTAGCAGTTATTGAATAAAACACATGACTACCACATTTTACCTGACATAAGTAAATGCAACCTTGTAAGGAAAAAAAAAATGTTTAAGAACACTTCCTTTACTTGGGTAAAACTATTTTTACATGAAGATATTTAACGACAAAAAAAGTTTCATGAAAGTGTTACATATATGCAGTTCATTATGTAAAGAAAAAAATAAACAGACAAAAAAAGACCAAAATGGGTATGCACTAAAATGTTAAAAGTAACCAAATCTAAAGGTAAGAGTACAGAACATAATTTTTAAAAAATTTCCAGTACTTCCTGCATCTTACAACTTTTTTAAAGTGAAAAAAGTTGACATTCGCTTGTCATATAAGCAAACAACAAATAAGTGCTTTCAAAATTAACACAGGGTTTAGCTGCTTCCGCAGATTCTAGACTTCAAATACAGCTAATTACTTGCTAGTAATTTTTTTAAACATACAAAATAAAGCTAATGACATTTGCTTCCGGCTCTCCTATAAAGATTTTCACACCCAAAGAAAATTTTACTTTTACATAAAAAGGTTCTGGGTCTAACTTTCTATCCCAGAATACAAGTGGTAATTTGATTTTTAAAAATCATCAATTTAGATTGCTTTACACAAATGTAATCTCAAAGAAGTTATATTCAGCTCAGTAATTCCAAAATGCAGACACCTAAAACACAACGCAAGTTTTGAGGCATTTAGTGAACTGCACCAACAGAAACGCCTTATGGAGATGAACTTATTTAAAACACATTATTTCCATTACCTCGTAAGAGCCTAACATCTAATGAAGCTTTTTGTGAGAGATACTTTGCTTAGCCTGGACCTTTTTATCTGAATATCTGGGAAGCTGACAAAGTCGATCTCAAACTGCATTATATTTAAGGTACAGAATGTCAACTCTTCACTGGGCCTCCTCGCCTTTCTTTCACAAGAGCGCCTTTAATATCTCTAACCCTAGCTTACATTTCCGGGCTCATGAGTCACTGAGCAGTAAGCTCCAAGTTTCCTTTAGAATGCCACTCAAACAGCTCTTCTTCAGCATTCAGGGATCTGGCCCCCAAGTACCTCATTATCCCACCCTCACTTCCCATTGTGGCCCTGAGCAACAAAATGAACTATCCACTACTTCTAGACTATGTCTTTATACCTTTGTCCTCTAGCTTTGCTGTCGCTCCACGTACTGTGCTGCAACCCTCCGCTCCCAAATCCTTTCAGGCCTTCCAGACCCCATAGGCACCGCCTCGCCCAGAAAGCCTTCCAGATTTTCGGCGAGGCGGAAGTCATCGATCGGTCCGGTCTTCCCTGGGTTCCTCCCTAGCACCTTGCAGTTCTTTCACAGGACTTTTATCTCCTCCTTCCTGGTATCGCGTTATCTGTGTACTGGTCTTATCACCCACACCAGAGCGCAAGCTGCTCGCGGGAGGAGACCGCGGATCGGGGTTCACCTTTGAATCCCGCCGGTGCGGACGCCCAGGGCGCCTGCCCGCAGTCAGCGCTCCAGCTGGTTCAACAGAAGCCGCGAACACTGCGGCCGCGCAATTCCTAACCAGAAATCAGTTAGGCATTTGCCGGACAGGGGCATCGTGAAGATGCCACCTGCCCCCGGATCACAGAAAGTTTACGGAGGGCCCGTGTTTGGTGGGAATGACAGTTGGCCCGGGCCGCACTTCCCTGCCCTCCGGACTACGGCCGGGGACGCCCCAACGCCGCCAGCCCGGCCAGGGAACCACGGAAGGGTGGCAGGCGAGCCCGGGGCTCCCAGACCCCGTCGCAGGCCCCTGGGCGCGGCGCCGGCGAGGGCCAGAAGGGAAGGCTCCGCGAGGGGGCCGCAGCCGCCCGAGAAAATGGAGGCAGCCCCGGGGCCGGTGACTGGCCGAGGCAGGGCAGGCGGAAGCCGGGCCGGCGTCCGCGTCGCGAGCGGGGCAGGGCCGGGGGGTCACTCACGGGGCTGGGCCGGGCGGCTTCCTCTCCGCCTCCGAGTCGTCGCCGTCCCCGTCCTCGGCCGCCTCCGCCGCCTCGGGCTGCTCGCTCGGTCCCCGCGGCGCGGCTCGGGCGCTCGGCCCCTCCGTTGTCTTCTGCCCGCTCCTGCTCCCGGCAACGAGCTACCCTGGCGGCGGCTGCGCGGGCTGACGACGGCCCAGGGGCTCCCGCGGCGGCCGCCGCACTGCTGCGCTCGGTCGTCTGGGCTGCGACTGCTGCTGCTGCGGGCCCGGCACCGCCTTTGCCTTCGCCTTCACCCGGCTCCCGGAGCTTCAGTCTCTCCCAGGCCGCGCCGCTCCCCGTTCCCGGCCCGAGCCCGGCTTTGACGTGCGCACTGCGCAGACGCCGAGGGAGGGACGTCGGGCGGCGCCGCAACGCCCCCTTCGGCCTCGGGCGCCCCCTGGCGGCCGGGCGGACTCGGCGCGGAGTCCCTCCCCACCCCCAGCCCCCGAGGCCGAAGAGAGAGGGGAAGCAGGAAAAGCAGAAGCTGAGAAGAGAGTTCCTCTTCTTTCATCAGCCACTTAAATCTTGGTGCTCAGCCCCTTCTTTTCTGTCTAAGCACGCTTCCTGAGGTAATCTCACGCTCACTTTCCAGGACCACTTCCCCGGCTCTTAACGAAGATTTATGTCTGCTGAGACTAAAAGCCGACTTCCTGTAGATTGAATCTGTCATCCTTGTGAGGAGCAGATCACTTCCATTTCAGCATCTTCAGAGAGAGCGCGGTGGAGTGACAGGGATGGAATGATCCAGATCGATAGGATTCAAGAGCCTGGATGTAAAGCCAGCTCCACCATTTAGTGTCCAGGGGCTGTTTCCTGCCCCTGTGCCTGGGTCCCTACGCACACGCGTGAATCCAGGACTGGGGGCTAATGAGGATGAATGAGAAAGTGCACCGCAAAGCCCAGGCAGCAGAATCTGAAACGTGAAAATGCCTACACGTACATTTTTGTTTCTTTCTGTTGCTTTGTTTTTTAAATTTGTAATTGGACAGGGATTTGTGAGCACTACAGGGCGCAGTCACTGTTTGGGGTGGTGGGGCTGGAAACAATACCGTCCCTGCTCTTGAGACAAACAATAAACAAATAAACCAGCACATATTTGACATTGGATGGTTTTCCGTGCTATGGAGAAAAACATCACAGGCCAAGGAAGGGAAAGAGGGCAGGGTATTGTTATTTATAGCTCTCCCGTGCAGGTAGCAGCTCCATGAAGAAAGAGCATGCTGTGACCTGTGTGCACGGAAAGGCACAGGGAACAGCAGGGACCAAGGCCCTGAGGTGGGGCGCCATGGACCCCAGCGAGGCCAGATCCGCGAGGGAGGGAGGAGGGCAGAGGTGAGCAGAGAACGGGCCCTATAGGCTAAAATGAGGCTTTTGGTTTTCACTCTGAATGAGGTGGGAAGGTATTTGGAGGGTTTTAAGCAGAGAAAGGATGTGGTCTGACATTTTAAAAGGATCACTCAGGTTCTGCTGTGAAGACCAGACTGAAGGGCAGGAGGCTTTCAGCTGGGAGACCAGTTAGAAAACTTCTGAAATAATCCGGTCAACGAAGACAGCCTCGGTCTAGGATGGTAGCAGGGAGGAGTAAAGTGGTTGGGTTCTAGACACATTTAAAAGGTAGAGCTGAGCCCTGGCCCAGTAGCTCAATTGCTTAGAACATTGTTCCCCTATGCCAAGGTTGCAGGTTTGCACTCTGGTCAGGGCACAATAAAAGAGTCAACCATAAAGAACTGGAACAACAAATCCTTGTCTTCTTTCTCTCTATTCCTCCCTCCCTCCCTCCTCTCTTTTGCTCCTTCCTTTCTCTCTCTAAAATCAATTTTTAAAAATTAAAAAAAAAAAAGGTAGAGCTGACAGGACTTTGATGACTTCTAAAGTTTTTCCCCTCAAGCAGCTAGAAAATACAGTTTGGTAAAATGGAGACAACTTAAACAGAAGCAGATATGAGGAGAGGAACTTGGGAATGCATGTGGGGGCATATTAACTCTGAAGTGCCTGTGTTAGACACCCAAGTAGGAAATGGATATAGAAGTCTGGAGTCTGGAGAACAGGTGTGGGCTGTGGAGAGAAGTCTGGGAGTCCGTCCTCAGAGTAAGTGAAATCTCAAGACCCAATGAGATCATTGGGGGAATGAGCATTAATAAAGGGCAAAGCCAAGGATGATCGGGAAGCCTCCAGCACTTGAGAGGTCGGGGAGATGACAAGGATCCAGCAAAAGATTTCTGTGGACAGGAGCCAGGTGGCAGGCAGAGACCCAGGAGAGCTTTGTGTGCTGGGAGACCAAGGGCTGGAGGATGGATCAATGCTACCGCTACTGGCTAATAGTTCAAGCAAGGTTGATGTTGGTGATTGGTCAATGGTGTCAGCACCACAGAAGTAACTAGTGGCCTTGGTAGGAGCTATGTCAGCAGAGGTGAATGGAAAAGCCTCAGTGGAGTGGTCTCTAGAAGGAATGAGACCTAGAATGAGCCCTAGAAAGCCTGGGGCTCCGGAAAGAGAGAGCATGAGTGCAGAGCACTGGTTCCTAACGGGTTGCTCTAAAGAGGTGGTAGTGGGGGGGGGGGGACACAACGTGGGCTCAAAGTGATTTTTTTTTTAATTTCTTTTTTGTTTTGTTTTTGTTTTTAGGATGGGAGCTATTACAGATAGCTTAAGTGCTGATGGAGATGATTCAGTGGTGAGGGAAAATTTGATAGGAGGTGTAGGGGCAGCATTTTCTAGAGAGCTGTCCTTGAGTGAGTGAGAAGAGAGTGTTCAGTGGACGGTCTGGCCTTGACACCAGTGCAATGACCTTCACTCACAGGGACAGAGGGCAGGGAGCTGGTGGACGAGATGCCAGAATCCATGGCTGCTCCCTTCTAAGGGCTTCGGTTTTCTCAGGAAAACTGGAAGCAAGGTCATTAGCAACAAGTGGGGAGGGGAGAGGAGGAGTAAAGCCAGACCAGTCAGCAAGGTTATCTGGTGTTTTTCACCGGCCACATGTGGCTGGGGAGGCGGGAAACTGGATTCAACCAGGGTTATTCTCGTTAGGGAACACCATGGAGAAAGAGCAAAGGAAGGGCGGGCTGTACACAAGGAACTAATAATAATAATAATGGCCAACTGTTGAATCCAAGACAGGTAGGAGGCCCTGAGGAAATGGGGGTGGAGGAGGGCGGTGGGAGGGGAGACACCCTATAGGAGTTGGGGACCCATGGAGCGGTGGGTGAAAGGTCCGGTGGGACCAGCACAGTCGGGGGAGTGAGCTGGAAGGAAGGAGGAGCTGGCTGGAGAGCCAGGCTGCTCACACTGAAATCAGGGAAGGAATAGTTGTCAGTGAATGATGGACGAGGCCTGGGGCAGCTTCTCAAACTCTAATGTCCATTAAATGACCGGGGGATCTTGTTGAAATGCAGGTAAGTGACTCCATTGGTCTGGGAACAGGGTGGGAGGGTGGCAATTATTCTTAATCTTGTTACAATCTCAATGGCAAAACCTCAACAAATGCAACCCCCCCCCCCAAAGAAAACAAAACGGAACGCTAGACTAATCTTGCTAGCTCATATATAGGAGAAACCTAAATAAAAACAAATTTGGAATGTAAGTAAAATAGCAACATGTTAAAGGCAAAGTTCGTCTCAACCATTTATGTCAAGCCCATTAGGGGCTACTGGAAAGGCAGGAGAGAAGTCAACTTGATGGCAAGTCCTGAGCAGGCCGGTTCCCAGGCTGCTCTGGGCTTCTCTCTGGCAGCTGTGGAAGAGGTGCCAGGCCCTCCTGGGTGAGCGGGACGCCAGTTTTATCTGATTTTGGAACTCTGTTCAGTAAGGACTTACCCCCCGCCGCTTTCTTTCCCTCCCCCCTCCCAACCACCCTTTTTAAAGATGAGAGTTCTTTTTATTTTAGTCCCAAAGGGAGGCCTTTGATTGTGCTGACATCCCACAAAAACAAGGAAAGACCCAATTTCCCACAGAATAAAAGACCGCACAGGGGTGGATAATCGCATATGCAAGTTTTTGATGCCTTTGCTGTCAGGGTCAGAGCAGGATTCCAGCAGGAGGGGCAGAAATTTCTGGAGCAGGAACAGGTTCTGAAGTCAGAGCAGAAACAGCCTTGTCCTTCGACCACTTGGATTTACAACTTCTCCATCCTTCCACGGGGCTGTCTGGGAAGCCCGTTCTGTTAATATATTTCTTCGTAGGCACAACCTCTTCTTGAGAAATTCCTCCCCCTTTTCCCTTTGAAACCCCCTTCACTGAGGCACCTCCCTCTCCAGGGCTGAGTTCATAGATCTCAGGGTCAGAAGGCACAGCCACCACTCTCCAAAGTCACCGTTGGTCTCGTGTCAATCTCCCATCAGTGTCATTCCCCTTCCGCTCCTCCGCTGCAGCTGGGACACGGGATGAAGGCACCTCCCCACCTTAGTGGCACCAGCTGAGAAAGGCCTTTGGAGCCTGACTCACAGCTTCCCTTCCCACCCCACCCCATGCCTGATTTCTCCTGGGTAACGTAAAGGCCACTCATGGAAGATGCTGGGTCTTTGTTCCCTCCCATTCTCAGTGACCTTCACTTCCACTCCACATCAACAGCCACTGTCTCTTAGCCCCACCCTGGTCTCTCAAGCACTACCACTCTACCTAGGAAACTTGACCTTTAGAACTCCCCTGCTTAATTGCTCCTTCCATCTACCCACCCTTCCCACAGCCCCAGACCCACCAAACCTGCTCTAAAGCTCATTGAAACTTTGTTTATTCAACAGATACTGAGAACTTGTGATGACTGAGCACTGGGCCCGGTAGTGGAACCTTGAGCCCTACAGGGTCCCTGCTCTCAAGGAGCTTGCAGTTCAGGAGAGACCCACAGGTCCGCAGGCAGTTACAGCCAAGTGAGACTTGAAGCAGGAGCAAGGTTTGGTCAGTTGGGGATGGGAGGAGATGCTCAAGGAAAATCACGCAAATAACACCAAAAGCCGGGAAGCACAGTGAATGTGGGGAAGTGCATATGAGTAGCTCAATCTATAGAATGTGGACCTTGAACTTGAAGAGGTGAATTTTTATTGCTATTCCTCTCCCTCCCCCAGCTTCATCAAGATGTTATTAACATGTAACACGTGTATGTTTAAGGTGTACAATATGATGATTAGATATACGTTTATATTGCAAAATGATTGTCACCGTGAGGCTGTGAGTCAATACCTTCATCTCCTGACGTAATCACAATCTTGTGTGTGTGTGTGTGTGTGTGCTGTGATATCATTTAAAACCTGCTCTCCTAATAATTTTCAGTCTATTATATAGTGTTAATTGTAGTGACCAGGCTGTACATTAGGTCCCCAGACCTTGTTTACCCTCTAGCTGGGAGTTTGTACCCTTTGACCAGACATCTCCCCATTGTTTCCACCTGCAGCCCCTGGCAACCACCATTCCACTCTCTGTTTGCAGGAGTTCAGCTCTTTTCGATTCTGCGTGTAAATGAGGACACACAGTATTTGCCTTTCTCCGTGGAATGCATTTCGCTCAGCAGAATACCCTGGAGGTCCACCCATGTTGCCACAAATGGCAGGCTGAGGAGGGGAGTTGGCACAGATAAGGCAGGAGAGCTTAGCAAAGGTCCAGCAGTGAAAGGCCATACCGTCCAGGGTAAGAAGCCTGAGTTCAGTGTGAAGGCAGCGGGGGTAGGCTGGATGAGGTGGGCACTGACACTTTAAGCCGTGGAGTGACATGCTCAGACGTGTGTTCTCTAGATTTAGAAACGTCATTTGATCCTGTGTGCGCGGCGGGTGAGGAGAAGGCCAGGTCAGATGCAGCGAGGTCGGTCAGCCAGAGGCATTGTCAATCCTGGCACGAGATAATGGGGCCTGAGCTAGACTGTGGCAGTGCGCGTGGGCAAGAGTGAATCAGGAAAAAAATGACATTTAGAAGGAGTGTGTGGTGATTTGATGGATACAGGTGGTAGGGGAGAAGGAGGAACAGGGGATGGCACCCCGGCTTTTGGATAGTAGGGCCAGTTAGTGAGATGGACACCATCTAGGAGCGACTGGGCGATAAGAGGAAAACTGGGACAGGCTCACGTCAAGAGAAAGAGTAGTTTAGTGCTGCAGGAGGGTCAAGTACTTCCAGGTTGGAGGTCACTGATGGGATGCGGCAGCGGGAGGATTTGGGGGACCTAGGAGAGAGCCGGACCAGTGGAGAGATGGGTGAAGAGGCGCTGGGACAGCCATGGGGGTAGGATGTGAATGAGAGATACGGAAATGGAACTAATGAACAGGAAAGAGAGGGGATCCCAGATTCCGGGAGTCCCTGGGGGGGAGGCGGCTTCGTGGGAACACAGGAGAAGGAAGAGGGCTCCTTCTTTGTCAGAGCAAAGAAAGAAAAGGACAAATATCTGCGGAGCTGGTTGGCTGGGCGAAGGGGTGTGGTGGGCGGGTGGGGCAGGGAGGGAGTTCCTGGGAGTTGAGGTATGCAGGGTGCATTTTGTTAGGAAAAAAGACAGTCGTTTGGCCCTAAAGTGAAATGGCTATTTGTTACAGAATGAGGAAGAGGAGGGTGGAGAGCACCACCAGAACGGACATACAGAGTTGTGAGTTTCAGCCTCCCTCACAGGAGCACGCTCCCGCCTCTCTTCCCTCCTGGGTGCGCATTTCCTAAATTCCAAGGGTCCCCGCGAGACTTGCAGCCAGGGGAGAAATGGGCAGCGGCAGCTCATCCCAGGCTCACCCCCTAAGCCCGTCTCCAAGGTCCCCCTCTCTCTGACTTTTCGGTGAGCCAGTAGCAGCTCTGCCCGGGCTCTCGCCTGTTGCTTTTCTATCCTAAGTCCTTCCTTGTTTCACTGTCCCCAACTTTAACACACATACTCTCAAGATAAAAATGGTAAGTTCTAGAAAAGGGAGTTTTATTTGTCCTGGTCGAAGCTGGCTAAGGTTTGATGGGTTTATTTATATGATTTTCAAAAAAAGCTTTAGTATCAAAATATCCTGATGTAAAACTATCATTTGTTCTTGCCTCTGTTAAAATGAGAAAAGTATTGGTCTGCCCTCCATAAGAGCTTGTGGTAGATAGTAGTGTCCTAAAGATGGCCAAGGCCCAGTCCCTGGAACCTGCGAATTTGCTACTTTATTTGATCAAGGGAACTTTACAGATGTGATTAAGTTAGGACCCGGGATGGGAGAGATTATTCTGGACCGTCTGCTGGGTTCCAGGTCATCAATCATGAGGGGCCCTGGAAGAGGGAGGAGGCAGGTGGTTCAGAACGAAACGAAGAGATTGGAATGTGCTCCCTGTTGGCGTTCCAGGGGCCGAGGGCCAGGAGTGAACAGATCCAGGAGAAGCTGGAGGACAGAGCTTCTCTCCGGAAGCCTCCAGAAGGGATCTCCTCTGCTGATGCCTTAACTGGAATCTAGCGAGAGTAATCTTGGATTTTTGATCTCTGATGCTAGATGATGATACGTTTGTTTCAAGCTGTCACGTGTGGTGATTGGTTAGAGCGGGAGCATTGCGATGCAGGCAATGCATTGACAGATGGGCAATGCAAGACCGTCACAGGTCGTTCTTCACCTTCTGTGCAGTCCGGGTAACAGAGATTCCTCTCTGGTGTGTGCTGACGGTGCTGTGACCTCGGTCATCTAAGAGAACCAGGTTTTCTCACTGAGGAAAGAGCTAAGAGTCTTTACAATCATGTGACTGCCTTTGTTCATTTTAAAGACTCTTTATTATCTATCACTTTAAATAAGTGGCTAAGTATTATTTCTCAGGAGCTCATGATCCTACCTTATTCTGGTGTCCAAATCTCCTGACAACTTTTGATATTTTGCCTTCCCCAAATTGATCCTAAATAATACCTTTTGCACCTGAACTGTCTTTGAGATTTCACAAAGGGTTTGGTCTTTCATCTGGTGAAAAGAGAAATGCCAGAAAGGGTTCAGGTTTATTTGGTGATCACTATAGAAAAGTTAGCTGCAAGGAAAGAGTTGTTGAATCAGCGGACGAGCTGCTGAGCTTCCGTCGGGTTGATTAGGTCTGATAAGCTGCAGCTGAAGTCGGTCTCAGGACCTGTGCTGTGCGGAAATTCCTAGAGGTTTTCGAGCACCTTCACCAGCCCTGCTGTTTCTCAGTGTTGCTGTACCTGAGAGTGGACAATCACAGGAGGTGTTGTCAGCCAGAATTTCCACTATTTCTTTTTTTTAGAAAATTTTATTGACTTTACTGGGGTGACATTGGCTAATAAAATTATATAGAATTATATGCAGTTTTCTATGACACACCATCTGTTTATTGCGTGTTTACCACCCGAAGTTGTCTCCTCCCATCGCCATTTACTCTCCTTTACTGTTTTCTGCCCCCCTCACCCCCTTTTCTCTCCAGTAATCATCATCCTGTTGTCTGTGTCTGTGAGTTTTTTCAGCTATTTCTTTAAGAAAAAAATTTTTACTGATTGATTTTGAGAGAGAAACATTGATTTGTCGTTCCACTTCTTTTTAAAATGTATGTATGTATGTATTTATTTTTAGAGAGAGGGGAAGGGAGGGAGACAGAGAGGGAGAGAATCAATGTGTGGTTGCCATCTGGGGACCTGGCCCAAAACCCAGGCATTTGCCCTGACTGGGAATTGATCTGGTGGTCAATTGAATTGGTTTGAACCTTTGGTTCGAAGGCCAGTGCTCAATCCACTGAGCCACACCAGCCAGGGCTGTTGTTCCACTTCTTCATTCATTCACTGGTTGCTTCTTGTATGTGCCCTGACCTGAGGATTGAACCCGCAACCTTGGTGCATCAGAACAATGCTCTAACCAACGGAGCTACCCAACCAGGGCTCAGCTATTCTTAAAATGGTAACTTGGTCACAACTTAAAAAAAACCCAAAACTTTATCCCCCCTCCTTTTTTTAAAAAGAACTTTAACATTTATTTTTCAGTTACAGTTTGCATTCACTATTATTTCATACTAGTTTCAGGCATACAGCAGAGACAACTTTTTAAATTTGAATCTAGCATGGACTAGGGTGGCTGATTTCGGTTGGAAACTCACATCATTAAGCTGTTGAGTTATATTAATACTCAAGTATTTAGGACCAAATCCAGATTTATATAGTCTTTTTACTTAATATTTTAGTGTATTCTAACTCTATGTTTAGTATATTCATGGAATATTATGTCAGGATTGTTTTATCTGAAGATTTTTTTCTCTGTGAAGATTATGTTTCTCCATTTTTATCCATTAGATTTAATCCACTCTTACTCATTACGCTAATAGTAGTTGCCCTAAAGTGTTTTCTGAAGTGACCATATTATTTTGGTTTATGTGCCACATAAACAAGCCTATTTCCTTGTCGCTGTACTGTTATTGATATAAATTCTCAGCATATCTTTCACTTTGGAGACTTGTCAGTAATGTTACCCACAGGCACTTTGTGTTGTACAGATAGTTTTTTGCTTCACTCTGGCGATGGCCTGGAGTGCTGGCAAAGTCAGCTACAGACTGGGGCACTTGTCTTTGATGAAGGAGGGCTGTCTTGGAGCTGGGGGGTAGGGGGCAGGGGCAATTACTGTAAGTGCGATACTTAGGGGCTCAGGCTGCTCACGGCCTCATTTAAACAACGTTGAGACCTTGCCAGCAGACTGAGTCAGGAACAGATAAGGGGTGACGATGAGTTTTGTTTGGAATATCGTTAATGTTGATTTAATGTGCTGTTTTCTGGATACGTAAGACGCCACATTCTCTTTTCTCTTAAGCTGTCTATAATTCATAACAATTTGATAGACCAGAAACAAACTTTGCTAACCAGAAACAAATCATTTGTGAATATTTCATTCTCCCTCCTTGATCCCTCTAAAATTCAGAAACCCTTATGAGTGTTCTTAACTTTCTGACAATGTAATTACTTGCATAGGTTCAATAAGAATCTGCGTTCCTTGCTAATAGGATGTAATTGGAAACATTGGTTACAAACCCAAGGCTTCACCTGAAATACCAGATTTGGGGATGGTGCTCATTTAATCAGAAATGACCTGACACTTTGAAAGAACTCAGGTTGACTTTCTGGGGCCAATGGGAAACAGGTACCAGCCCCATTGGGAGAACGGGCCTGGTACCTGGCTGACGAGGTTCTCAGCCTTACAGGTGAGTCTAGGGTCACTTCCTGTCATGTCTATTAGCCTTGGGGCATTTGGGAGACCTTGAGGAAAGAGGAATTTGCTAACATTTATAACTACTGCAGGTGAATTTGATGGCTTGGCTTCCTAGTCTCAAGATGCTTTCAAAAGTCTACTCTGAGATTCCTCACTAAAGCTTCCAGCAACACAAAGTTAAGGCCCATGTAGTAAATAGTTAGTCTTGCTACATCCATGCAAACAGGCCAAATTTAATGAGACCAGCCTTGACTCTCAATCAAGAAAAACCTTTCTTTGAGATTATCTTTGTAAATGGAGGGCCAGCAACTAAAAAGAGAAATTGTATGTTTCAATACTCAGCACATGCTTCCAGATTATCAGACTCTTGCCCTGCTCTTCACCTTGGAGATTTCTTGCACCTCATTCTAAACTGCAGGTAGCTGATGATTGTGTAAACTGCCTGGTCCGATGGGATTTCATGGACTTCCTTCGGCCACCCTGGTGGGAAAACCAGTCCTGTTGCCTCCCTTTACACTGCACCGGAGCTGTTGCCTTGTCCAATGGTCGAGCCTCACCAAATTCTCAAGTCCTCCAGTTTTCTTCAGTCCAACCACAGTCCTTCAAGGTAATGTTTCAGATTTTTCCTGCTACTTGCCTGATTCGGCATCACTGAGAACTCTGACTTGGCTGCTCAGATCCCTATCAGGCTTGAGGTTGCTTTGCAGGTGGCCTTTCCCTCAGAATCTGAAGAAGCCTTGTGAGCTGAAGCCCGGTGACTTGGCATTGACCTTGAAGGAATCAGCACTGCAGCACACCATGCACAGGGTTGGAATTCTCCCTGGAAAAGCTGCTACTGGACCACTAAGGAAGTCCAACAAGATGGGTCACGCATGCCCTTGGATGAGAGCCAAGCCTATGCATGGCATCACCAAGAACATAGACATCTTAGCTTTAAGGAACTCAAGGAGTTTCTACAAGTATAAATTATGTTGAGCTTCAAAGACTAAGTACCACAGCAAACAAACTAATAAACATAAAACAAGGAACTCATGGAGTGGTATAATGCAGTTTTCCACTGCTGACCTCTGGTATCCACTGGACCAGGTGATTTCAAGGTTCCACTCCTGGCTCTTTACTTTAACACAACTTTTGTACTATTACTTCCCTATTTTAGGTTTCCTTCTTTTAAGATGCCTCATCTCCAGGACCCTAAAACAACTGACCTTTGCCACTACCTCTCAACATGTGGATCAATAGTTTTACAGGAACAACACTGGCAAGAACCCTGGAGAGAGCGTTTCTTTGGCCTGCGTCATCCTGCTGGGAGGTTTCTGCTCACCTGGGAGCTGTTCAGTGGCAAACAATATCTGTCTTAAACAACAGGGGGGACTGAGGATGTTGAACTTGATGGGAGCCCCGGGCAACTTCAGAGTGATGGGTAAGAAGTCTCCCCACCCTTCTGTG